CGGCGGCGAGGAAGGTGGTGGCGATGGCGGCGGAGGCGAGGACGGTGGCGGCGAGGGCGGTGGCGGCGAGGGCGGTGGTGGGGAGGGCGGCGGCGATGAGGGCGGCGGCGGTGAGGGCGGCGGCGAGGGCGGAGGAGGCGAGGGCGGCGGCGGTGAGGGTGGCGGCGAGGGCGGAGGAGGCGAAGGTGGCGGCGGTGAGGGTGGCGGCGAGGGAGGTGGAGGCGAGGGTGGTGGCGGTGAGGGCGGCGGTGGTGAGGGTGGAGGCGGCGGCGGTGAGGGCGGTGGGGGCGAGGGGGGCGGTGGGCTAGGCCTCGTCTCGCTCGATTGACCCGGAGCCGTCCGCGTCAAACACGGCCCAGATCGCGTCGACGGTGGAGCGCATCTGCTGCACGCGCGTGGGCGATGTGGAGAGGCCTACAGGAATTCCGAGACGGTTCCGAGAAGGCGCACGGGAGTCGAGCGCGCGGGCGGCGTGGGGGAGGCCGAGCGTCTTGACGAGCGCGCGAACCACCTCCTCCTTCTCGAGTGAGCCCGAGTTGTCCTCATCCCAGTAATTGTACCAGCCAAGCTTGTCGCGCGCCTTTAGGAGAGGTGGCCGAAGCTTCCGGGAAGGCTCCCAATGCCTGCACCGCCCCAACCTACCGCGCGCCATGTCCGGGATGGGGCCCTTGCCGCCGCCCGACGAGGCGAAGACCTGTCCACAGAAAAAGAAGGTGCTCCGCTCATGCCAGCCGCGCTGTCTCCGTTGCGATCCCGGCGAGGCGAGGCCTGCTGCACGAAAGCGACGAGGCCGGGCGCCTCTGCACGCTCGATGAAGCCCGACCGGTCCTACATAGGGAGGCTCCCAGAACGGGTGCGCGGAGAGGGCGACAGAGTGGAGGCAAAGACGGGGTCGGCGGCGAGGGCGGCGGGGGCGAGGGCGGCGGCGGAGACGGTGGTGACGAGGGCGGTGGCGAGGGCGGCGGCGGAGACGGTGGTGACGAGGGCGGCGGCGGCGAGGGCGGCGGCGAGGGCGGCGGGGAGGCTGGAGGCGAGGGCGAGAGCGGCGGCATGCCGGTTCGCCGGGCAAGAGAGGGGAGGGAGAGCGGTCCTTGTCCCACTGCTCCCACAGCCAATGCGACGGGTCGGCCAATGCGTCATCCAGCTTCGCGGCGTCGATCGGCAGCTGCGCCTGCAGCGAAGGTTCGGAGAACCGGTTCGGAGAAGAGCCCTGCCCACCAGCCTTCTCCGCATCGGCAGCGGCGCCTTGAGCGCCTCGATCAGCTCGTGCCTCGAGAGGCGCCCGTCCCCGTTGACGTCGACCACGCGCCACCAAGCCTGCAGGTCCGCCCGCAGGTCCGGCACGGCCAGCACCGACGAGATCGGCAGGCGCGTGAGCGGACAGTGCCTGCAGGAAGGTTCCGAGAAGGGTTCCGACGAGACGGTTCCGAGAAGGTTCCGAGAAGGTTCGGAGGAGCGGTCTTCCCTCAGCCCGACCGCGTGCAGGTGCGCCTCTCCGCCCGGAAAGGCGAATCTCGGCGAATCTCGGCGAATCTCGGCGAATCTCGGCGAATCTGGACCCGTTGCCGCTCCGCAGCCACTCCTGCGCCGCGCCGAGGTTGAAGAAGTGGTTGGAGACGCGCCGCCCGCCGGCGAGGAAGACACCCACCGGACCGCTCGCCAGCGGCTCGAAGCAGATCGGGCACTCGGCGTGCCGCAGTGCCTGGCCGTCCTGCCATGTGGGCGCCACCGGCGACGCGCCTGTCGCCGTGTCGAGCGGAGCAGTTGAAGCGACGGGCGCCCTCGGTGCTCGAAGAGAGCGCGATCGCATCGGCGATACGGGGAGTCCCATCGGGACGTCCGGCGGCGGCGTGGGCGGCGGCTCCTGCTGCGGCACCTCAACAACGAACGTCTGGCCCGCCTCCACGCCAACTGGGATCACCGTGGTGAACATCTGCCCGCCCGAGGTGGAGGGGAAGGTCACGGTCTGGCCGGGGGACATGCCCGCAGGGACACGCACAGCGAGCTTCATGCTCATCGCAGCCCGCGGACGCAGGCTTGTGCGCTGCTGCTGCTGCTGCTGCTGCTGCTGCTGCTCTGCAGCTGCTGCAGGAGAGGGGTGTGGTGCGCTAGCCGCGGGCGATGGACTCGACTCGGAAGCACATTGTTTTCTTTTCCCCGTTTTTTCTTTTTCCTCGCTCGAGCCAAAATGGTGGTGTGAGGCGCTGCGCTAGGCTCAGAGCGAGTTCGCGCTGCGCTAGGCTCAGACGGCGAGTTCGCGCTGCGCTAGGCTCCTCATGACGGCGAGCGAGTTCGCTGCGCTCTAGGCTCAGACGCGGCGAGTTCGCGCGGCGGTCTAGGCTCGCGATGGCGAATGCGCATTCAACCTACGGTAGAATTTCATTCACGACAAAAGGCGGTCGCACATGCATGTTTTTAGCCACTTGCGGTGAGCATCACGTGCTTCGGTGGCTCGCTCAAGCCAACATCGCCACCGCTGCATGCCTGAGGATTGTGCGCACCGGGGGGGTCTTTCTAGGTGCACAGTGCACGTCGCCCTGGTCGATTGTGCAAACTTCGGCGGGCGCGCAGGCGCGCCGCGACCACGCAGTCCTTGCCGCAGTGCATGAAGCCATCGATCGTCTTGCCGCAAGTTGAGCCCAGCCCCAGCGCGATGTACGCGCCGTACTGCGAGAGGTGCGCCAGTGCGCCCGAAGGGCCGAGTAGCGGCGCATTGACGACGAGGTCGCTGTCCAGAAACGTTGGAACCCATCCGAGCTCGATGGCGATGCGGCAGAGCTGAAATTTGGCAAAGGTGAGGGCGTAGCCATCGGCCGTAATGTCGTTGCCGTGCTCGTCTTTTCGGATCGGCAGCAGGTTCGCCGGCTCGCAGACCACGTCGACCGACCGGAGCTTGACGCACTCGTCAGTGAGCAGCGTGACGGCCCCGACGGTGACGTTGAAGCGGTGGGCGCTGCGGAAGAGATTGATCGTGAATGGCAGGGCCTCCAGCGTTGCGATGGTGAAGATGAAGCGCCGCCTCGGGCCGTCGGTGTGCAGTGCGCCTTGCACCGCCAGCTTCTGCATCACCTGCGTCAGGTTATTGCGCCCATAGAAGCCGCTCATGGTCGCTGCCAAGTGCTCCTGCAGCTCTCCAGCGTCGACCTTCTCGTGCCGATAGAAGGTATCCGCCCTCTTCCGATGCGGTCGCTTCCAGCCCTCTTTGACATAGCAGGACGTGCCCGCCACACCCGTGGCTTTGACGATGGGCTCGATGTGAATCTCGCAGGCCGCTTTATTGTCCTTCACCTCGAACGCCCCGCAGGTTGGGTCCATGGCGCACAGCTCTCTGCATCGGGTGAGTTCCACCCGTTCCGTCGCATAGCTTCCAGCCGCGTCACTCGCTGTGCGGCAGGCTCCCTGAAAGAACCGGAAGGCATTGCCGCTCGCAGCCGGCATCGGCTGAGGGACCTGCTGCGGCTGGATCTGCAGCTGCGGCTGCGGCTGCGGCTGCGGCTGCGACTGGATCTGCAGCTGCGGCTGCGGCTGCGACTGGATCTGCAGCTGCGGCTGCGGCTGCGGCTGGATCTGCGGCTGCGGCTGCTGCGTTTGTTGCGGCTGCAGCTGCTGCGGCTGCGGCTGGGCGCGAAGGGTTTCGAGCTCCGCCCGCAGCTTCCTGATCTCAGCACCGTGCTCCTCGAGCTGGACATTGTGCTGGGCTTCAAGCCTAGCCATGAGGCCGGCGTTGCCCCCAACCGCGTGCGATTTGCGGTGCGGCCCTTGATGCTCGCCAGCGTGCGCAAGGGCTGACGGCATGTGGCGTGCAGGCCGTACAGTCATACGGCGTTGGTGCGCTGGTGCAGGCCGTACAGTCATACGGCTTGGAGCCATGCCTGTAGAGAACATGCTGTGCAAGCCGGCGCCGATGGCAGCAGCAACGAGGTACTGGAGGATCCGAGCGACCACTGTAGGGCCGGACGAGTCGCGCATGGCTCCGGCGCGCACCGGCAGCACGCCGCGCTGCGCAGATCGGCGAGGCCTTGTGCAACGTGCGTGACGCCCATCCCAAAGGCGCTGTTGTGGCGGCGGCGCTTTATGCGTCGTTCGCTTCTGCTCCTGTTCGCGGGCGCGCCGCTGGCCTACGCGCCAGCCGCGCTGCAAGGCAAGGAGCTTTACGAGGCGCTCTATGCGACCGGCTGGGGCAAGGACACGCGCGTAAGCCAGGGCGCGAAGTTGCTGCACACCATCAGGAATATGAGACGGCAAGGTGCCGCCATCGATTCGGTGCTGGACGTGGGCTGCTCGCACGGCAATGTGGTCGCGGAGCTTTGGCAGTCGGGCATCGTGGCGTCTGGCGTGGACATTGCCCGTGGGGCCGCCGACTTGGCAACCTCGCTGCACAAGCCGCCACACGGCCGCGCGAGCTGCAACGGCGAGGGCAGGCCGTGCTTCCAGGCGGCCAGCGCCACAAGCCTGCCCTTTCGCGATGGCGCATTCGATGCGATTGCGAGCTCTGACGTCCTCGAGCACGTGGATCCGTCCGATGTGCGTGCGGCGACGGCCGAGTTTGCCCGCGTGGCGCGAAACTTTCTCGTCCTCAAGATTGCCAACCGTCCCGAAGGCAGCACGCTCTCGGGCTCGCGCGCGGGCGTCGGCAAATTTCAGGGGCGCACGTTTAAGGACGCGTTGCATCAGCAGGGCTACGCGGACCGATTACCGACGCAGCTGCACACGACCGTCAAGGGTAACGAGTTCTGGCACGAGGAATTCAGGCGGGTGGGCTTTGCGCTGAATCGGACAATACCCGATGCTTCGTGGGCATGCTGCGCCTACGTGCTCCACCGCATCGAGCCGTATCGTCCGTCGAAAGAGTGAACACGGCGGCGATTCTTTCGGTGGGGCGACACGGGGAAGCGGCATGCGCAGGGCGCCGCGCATGGTGCTGTCGCGCAGCCGGTACACTGTAAACTCAGCGGCGGCTCCGTCGCGCGCACAGTCCCACCGGACAGACTGCGCTGCGGACTGAGCTCATGAGAGGCGCGATGCTCACGGAAGGGACCGGACCCATGACGGTTATTGCACACCAGGCCTTTTTGCTGTGGTCGCATTGCCTGTGCAAAACACTGCACACGTACACTCTTGACGATCGGACTCGCACGGGTCCGCGCACACACACCGCCGCGCCGGCCGCCCACGCGGCGGGCTCACGGCATCAGGACCAGCTCGCACACACGGACTTCTTGGGGCTCCCTGTACACTGTAGCATTCGTCGTTCCCCGCGCACACGCGCCACACAGCCCACACATGCGCTCCCCGCTCCCGTTCCCCTGTGTCCCTGATCGTCCTTACAAGATCCTGCTCGTGCAGGTGGGGACCCTGTCCTTCTCCCACCCCTCGTTTGGCGTGTACGTTCTTTATTATTTATTAACGAACTTAAGAAGAAGAAGAAAAAACACGCGGCACGGCGCCTAGGAAGGCACCCACAAATCGCCAACAGCGATGGTGGGAAAACGGGCTGGTGCACGAGAGCTTGGCGCAGGTTCCCTGAGCTGCTCCGACGCGGTCGTGCTAGCGGCGGAGCGAGGCGAGGAGGAGGCGGTGCTGGAGTGGCTTCATGGCGGCGGGCGGGCCGACGCGACGTACGAGAGAGGCGGCGTGAGCGGCCAAACGCTGCTGATGGACGCCGCCCTTAGCGGCAACGAGCGGGTGGTCGAGTTGCTGCTGCGGCACGGGGCGAAGGTCAACCAGCAGAGCAGCAGCGGCCTCACCGCGCTGATGCTCGCCGCCTTCTTCAACCACCCCGCCGTCATGCGCCGCTTGCTGCGGGCGGGCGCTGACACGGCAGCGCGCAGTGCGAGAGGCCAGACAGCGCTGCAGCTGGCCAAGGAGCAGGGCTACACCGAGTGCGTCAAGGCCTTGTCGGAGGCGGCCTCGGAGGGCCGGGCAGGGGCGGGCGGCGCCACCTCGGGCGCGGCAGCGGCAGCGGCAGCGGTGGACGCGCCGCTGCTCGGACAGCGAGTCGAGCTCGGCGGCCTCTCTGCCCGCCCCGAGCTGAACGGGAAGCGGGGCGTGGCGCAGAGCTTCGAGGGCGGGCGGTACGCGGTGGTGCTCGAAGGCGGCGGCGAGAGCGTGCGGGTGCGGCCGGGCAATCTGTCTCCAGCGGTGTTGAGCGGTGGCGTGGCAGCCCCCGATGCGGTCGTGGCAGCGGTTGAGCGAGGCGAGGAGGAGGCGGTGCTAGCGTGGATTGACAGCGGCGGGCGGGCCGACGCGACGTACGAGAGATGCGAGGTGATACGCACGCTGCTGATGGTCGCCGCCCTGCTCGGCCACGAGCGGGTGGTCAAGCTGCTGCTGCAGCACGGCGCGGAGGTCAACCTGCAGAACAGCAACGGCGACACCGCGCTGATGGAAGCCGCCAGCGACGGCCACGAGCGGTTGGTCGACTTGCTGCTCCGGCACGGCGCGGATGTCAACCTGCGGGACAGCCTCGGCTACACCGCGCTGATGAACGCCGCCTTCTTCAACCACCCCGCCGTCGTGCGGCGCTTGCTGCGGGCGGGCGCAGACACGGCGACGCGCACCACGAGCGGCATGACGGCGCTGCATTGGGCCAAGGAGAAGGGCCACGCCGAGTGCGTCGAGGCCTTCAGGCAGCACGTCAAGGAGGCGGTGGCGGCGGGACGGCCCACGGCGACGGCAGCCGGTGGCGAAGGCGCAGGCGGCGCCTCCTCCGGCGGCGCTTCCTCGGCTGGATCGAGAGTCGCGAAGACGCTATCTCCAGCGGTGGCGGCGGGGCGGGCGTCGAGCGGTGTCGGGGCAGCAGCGGAACGTGGCGAGGAGGAGGCGGTGCTGGAGTGGCTTGACGGCGGCGGGCGGGCCGACGCGACGTACGAGAGAGGCGATGTGAGTGGCATCACGCTGCTGATGGGCGCCGCCCTGGCAGGCCACGAGCGGGTGGTCGAGCTGCTGCTCCGGCGCGGCGCTGAGGTCGACCTGCAGAGCGACTTCGGCGGCACCGCGCTGCTGCTCGCCGCCGGCCAAGGCCACGAGCGGGTGGTCGACTTGCTGATACGGCACGGCGCAGAGATCAACCTGCAGAACAGCGTCGGCCTCACTGCGCTGATGCACGCCGCCTTCCACGACCACCCCGCCGTCGTGCGGCGCTTGCTGCGGGCGGGCGCAGATGCTGCGGCGCGCAGTGCGAGCGGCAAGACGGCGCTTCAGTGCGCCAAGGAGAAAGGTCACGCCGAGTGCGTGCGCGCCCTCGAGGAGCACTCGTCGACCGCAGCAGAGGCTGAGGGGGAGACGGCGGTCGCAGAATCAGCCGAGCAGGCCGCGGCGGCCGCACGCGAGGCGGCAGCGGCGGCGGCGGCGGCAGAGGCGCGCGATGCTGCCGAGGCGGCGCTGCGCGAGGCGGTCGAGGCGTGCGAGCGAGGCGATGCCGATCTCGAGGCGCTCAGGGCGGCGATCAATGCGAACACCGAAATCGCCGACGGCTCCGAGGCGCTGCGGGCGGCGCGGCAGCTGCGCGACGAGCTGGCGGAGCGCAGGGCCCGCGAGGCCAGGGCGCTGAAGCGGCAGCGGCAGAAGGAGGAGAAGGCTGCGGCGAGGCAGGCGGAGGCGGCTGAGCGGGCGGCGGAGGAGGCGCGGGCGGCGGACGAGGCGCGGGCGGCTGACGAGGCGCGGGCGGCTGAGGCAGCTGCGGAGGCGCGGGCGGCGCGGGCGGCGGAGGAGGCGGAGGCGGCGTCGCGGGCAAGGGAGGAGGCAGAGGCGAGGGCAAGGGAGGAGGCAGAGGCGAGGGCAAGGGAGGAGGCGGCAAGGGAGAGGGAAGAAGCGAGGGAGAGGGCGGAAGCGGAGGCGGAGGCGGCGGCGGAGGCGGCGGCGGAGGCGGCGGCTGTAGAGGCGGCAGTGGCGGCCGTGGCGGCGGCGGAGGCTCAAGAGGCGGCGGCAGCGGAGGCGGCGGCAGCGGCGGCGGCAGCGGCAGCGTCGGCGGCGGCGAGCGTCGCCGCCCTCGCCGCCGCCGCCGCGCCGCCCGCCGCCGTCCCTCTCGACGAGCTCATCGCGGCGACCGACGGCTTTGCCGAGGCGCGCAAGGTGGGCGAGGGCGGTTTCGGGCGCGTCTACCGCGCCGACGCGCTGCCGTCGCTGCCGCGTGTCGCTTGCGGGTTCGCCGTCAAGACGGCGCTGGTCGGTGTCGGCGCGCAAGGCCTCGCCGAGCTGCAGAGCGAGGTGCGCACCCTCAGCGCGGCGTGCCACCCGTCCCTCCTCCCTCTGCTCGGCGTCTGCTTGGCACCGGCGAGAGCTTGCCTCGTCTACCCCCTCTGCCGCGGCGGCAGCCTCGAGGACCGCATCTACCGCACTCCAGCTGCACTGCAGCGGCTCCGCATGCTCGGCTTCGAGACGCCGCCTCCGCAGTTGTCGTCCCTCGAACGGCTCCGCGTGCTGCGCGACGCGGCGAGCGCGCTGCATTACCTGCACACGCTCTCGCCGATGATTCTTCACCGCGACGTGTCGGCGGGCAACATCCTGCTCGACGAGCGCGGCAATGGATTCCTCGCCGACGTGGGCCTCGCGCGCGCGGCGGAGGCGACGGCCGGGCAGGTCTCGCACCTGTCGACGCAGCGGATCTTTGGCAAGCCCGGCTACATGGACCCGATCATCATGCAGGACAACCAAGCGTCTCAGCTGACCGACGGCTATGCGCTCGGCATCACGCTGCTCGTCGCCCTGACCGGCCGCGGCGCCGTCGGCTTGCTCAACGCGTGCGACGATGCATTGGAGGAGCCCGACACGGCGGAGAGCATCGCGGCGGCCGACGCGGGCTGGTCGGCGGCGCAGGCAGAGGAGCTGGCGCGGCTCGTGGTTGGGCTGGCTCTCGTGAGGAAGAAGAGGCGGATGCCGCTCGCAGAGGCGCTGCCGCGGCTGGAGGCGCTGGCCGAGGCGGCGGAGGAGATGGCGGCATCGCCGCCACCGAGCCTCGCGGGGGCGCCGGCGGTGGCAGCCGAGGCGGACGCGGACGCGGAGCGCCAGTGCGACTTGTGCTGGTCAGCGCCGCGCTCGGTGCGCTTCGCTTGCGGCCACGCGCTGTACTGCGAGGCATGTGCGCCGCGCGTGCTGGAGCGCGACACCAACTGCCCGGCCTGCCGCCAGCCGGCGTTTCCCATCGCCGCAGTCGGAGCGCATGTTGCGGCGCAGACCACGTTCGTCCACCAGCCGCCTGCGCGCGCTGGGCCAGCCGCAGCCCGTAGCCCGCAACCCGCGGGCGGTCGCGGCGGGGCCGACATCGACGCCCACATCTCTCGGGCACGGCCGAGGCAGGCGGCAAGGGAGACGGCAGCTGTGAGGGAGAGGGAGGCAGCTGTCATGGCGGCTGCGGCGAGGGCGAGGGCAGTGGAGAGGCTGATGCAGCAGCAGCAGCAGCAGTCGCAGCAGTCGCAGCAGTCGCAGTCGCAGCAGCAGCAGCAGTCGCGCGGATGGCGTGGCGGGCGTGGCGGGCGTGGCGGCCGAGGCGGCCGAGGCGGCCGAGGCGGGCGTGGCGGACGCGGTGGGCGTGGCGGAAGTGTTGGGTGATTTTGGGCGTTGCCCGGTGGCACGCTGGCACAGCTCACATGCATGCTTATGCGTTGCATCCGTTTTTTGCTTTCGCGTTTCGGATTCGGTGTCTTGGGGGTCTCGTCTCATAAACTTCTCTCAAAAACACCGAGATGCGAGAGAAATACAGTAACCACCTTCGTACACAGGTTCTCACTCAGAGAATGCCCAGAAGCCCACTCACAGCTCACACAGCTCACGTAAGCACAGCATGGCACCCCCTCGAAGTTCCCTCCAACGCGCAAATTCCCTCTCCCAACTCTCAAAAACGACTCTCTGCCGTCGACTCGGTGGCACAACGATGCGTTCGGCTCGCTCGCGCCGCCACGTGTTGGAGTGAAATGGAGCTAGCCATTATTTATGTGCGAGTGTCGCTCACAATCCTTCGTTCGTTCGACTTCTAGGATTGCGAGCGAGGCTGCTTGCAATCCAACACTTGCAGAAAAGAAGGTTCAGCACCAGTGTGCGTGCCTCCGCTCAAAAACGAAGAATAGCGGTAAGCTGCGGTCCGACCGATCCGATGCCACCGACCGACTCGCGCTGACGGGAAGACGCGCACTTGGAGCACTTGGAGTGCAGTCGGTAACCTCACATCCAGGGCCGGGGAGCTCAGAAGCGCACCCAGCGGGCCGGATGATCGGCATCGGGTTACGGGCTAGAGAGCCCTAGCCCCGGGGGTGCGCGTTCGCAGGGCAAGGGCCGAAAGTAAGGGTGTTCAATTTTTCTCCCGGCGCCTGTGTCGAGCCCTTAAGCTGCCCACACACGACGCTCGACACGCCCCCCCCGGGGGGGGGCCTCGTAGGGTGTCACACGATGTAGAATAGGAGCAAGCTGCCGGCCAGGGCGAAGACGAGCGTGGTCGGGAATGCGAAGGCGAGGTGGCGGAAGAAGGTGAACTCGTAGCCGGTACGCGCGGCCTTCTCGGCGACGATGAGGTTGGCGATCGAGCCGACGAGCGTGAGGTTGCCGGCGACGGTGCTCGAGAAGGCCAGGATCACCCAGCCCGTCTCGACGACGATCGACGGATCGAGCTTCATCATCTGGCCCGAGAGGAGCATCACGGTGGGCACGTTGGAGCAGATGTTGGACAGGATGAGCACGAGGATGGCGAAGACGCAGACATCCTTCGGCGAGTCGAAGTCGAGGCCGACGCCCTTGATCGACTTCGCAAGGTCGAAGATCTCCTGCGGCAGCCCCGTGAGGCGCGAGCCCGCGATGACGACGAAGAGGCCACCGATCATCACGAGGAGCGGACCGTCCACGTAGCCGAGGATGACGGTCGGGTCGCGGCTGCGCGGCTGCAGGTAGGCCTCCGCGATTGCGAGCACGCCCGCGGCCGTCAGCGCCACCCACGCGATCGACGAGGTGAAGAGGAAGCCGACGAGCAGGCCGGACAGCACGACGTACACTCCGATGCGACGACGCGCATCGCGCTGGCCGACGAAGTGCGCCCGGATCGGGTCGGCGGTGCTGGTGGCCACCAGCGTGTCGACGAACGACTGCGCAGAACCTTGGCGACGTCCGAGCTGCGGGGGCAGAAGCCTTGCGGGGTCGAGTCCCCGCCGCTTCGATGGTAGAGGCCGTCGGGAGTGCATTCGGACTCGGTGGCTAAATCGGACGTGCACTCGGCGTTGGTGGGGAGCAGCAGACGATGAAGATTGGCGACCAGCCGGTTTTAAGGTCCCTCCGGCCAGTTTGGGGGGGCAAACCCAGCCCGCCCCCTAGAACCCCGGGTAAGGCCCAGGTGTGGCCTAGGGCATCAGAAGGGACCAAGAGGAGTCCAGTCTGAGCCATAGAGCCCATGTCTTTGCCCCCGAAGGTCGCGTTCAAATGCCCGGAACGGCCGTCTCAGTGGTGTCCGGCCGGCGCGATCACCGAGCTGTGACGCTCAGGGAAGACTGATGAGGTGCTGGTTTCTTTGCCCAGGCCTGGCCTTCCCCCCAGGCTGGATGGATCAGCTGAGCAAGGTTTGGGGAGAATCCCCCATTCAGATCTTCAGATATTTTGACGGATGACCGAAAATGGGCATGACGCGAGCGAGAGCACCTGCAGCGGCGCCTCGATCAAGATGCCGATCGCCATTGACCTTGCTCGAGCCGCGGCGGGGCCGTGAATGAAAGTGAAGCGTGTCAGGATCGGCTGCTCGGCTGTGAACTGACCTCGCTGTGAATGTGACCGCCGTCACAGACACTATTGTCCATGAATGGTAAGACTGAGAGTAGAGTAGAATCGGGTCGAGCGACCGGCCCAGTCGACCGTCCCCTAGGTAGGTAGGTGTCCCCTCCCCTCTGCAGAGCCCGCGAGACCTAAAGGATTCACGCCTCTCAATCCTGCCGTTGGGCTTCGAGTTGGAGCCCGGCACACCTCCGCCCTCACCTCTCCTGCCCGCCCGCCCCTCCAAACGTCCGCCCTCGAACCACCAGCCCACCGCTCCGCATCGTACGCCGCTCCGCGGACGATGGTCGACGTCACCTCCAAGGTGCAGATCATCGAGCACGTCAACAAGCCGCTCTCGCAGACCGTCTATGACACCAAGTGGGTGCCGTGCTCCGCGCGGTTCGTCTCGCTCGGCACCCCGGCTCGGCAGACGGGACTCATCCACGTGTACTCCCTCACGGCCGGCGACATCGAGCTGCAGGTGCCGCCGCCACGCCCACCCACCCGCCCCCCGCCGGCCAGCGCGCCCGAGCGCCGCGCCCTCGCCGGCCGCAGGCGGAGCTTGAGCGTCCAAAGGCGTTCAAGTGCGGGACGTTTGGCGCGTCGTCCATCGCGGAGCGCCATCTCGCGACCGGCGACTTTGCGGGCGGCGTCGCCCTCTGGGACCTCGAGCGGCTGCAAGAGCCTCTCATTGCGACGCAGGGCCACGAGGCCATCATCAACTGCATCGACGGGTGCGGCGGGCTGAAGGGCGCCGGGGCGCCCGAGATCGCGACGGGCGGGCGCGACGGCGCCGTCCACGTCTGGGACCCGCGCCAGCGGGACCGGCCGGTCGCGTCCATGCTGCCCGAGGAGGGTGCTCCGGCGCGCGGCTCCAGATGCGGAATATCTCCCCATATCTCCCCAGATCTCGAGGCCCAGCTGCGGGAAACGGAGGTCTGTACTCCGACTGGCGCTCGCGAGGGCGCGCATTCGGCCGTGCTCGGCTGTACTCACTGTACTCGCCGCCCTCGGATGCACGCGATGCTCCGAAAACACTGCACGGCGCCGTCTTGACTTTTGCCTTCGGTGTATCGACGCCGCGGCGCAGGTGCGAGACTGCTGGGCGGTCGCGTTCGGCGACGCGCACAGCGCGGACAGCCGAGTGGTGGCGGCCGGGTACGACGACGGCGACGTGAAGCTGCTCGACCTACTCGATACTGACTAACATAGACTAGTGTTGATCAGGTACGACAACGGCGACGTGAAGCTGCTCGACCTGGTCGCCGGCAAGCTGCGCTTCGAGACCAATGTGAGCAACGGCGTCTGCGGGGTCGAGTTTGACCGCAACGACATCGAGATGAACAAGCTGGTCGCGCGCGCCGCCCGCTGCCTCGGCGGTGGGCGAGAGAAAGCACCCGACGTGTATTTCTTTTTTTAGGCGCGCCGCGCGCACTCTCGTCCTGCCGCTGTGAACGGCGTCTCTTCACACCTGCCGCTGCGAACAGGCGCCGCGGCTCCTCTGTCGCTACGAGTGGGAGCGCGCGCGTCTCTTCACCGCACGCGGTGTGAGCAGGTCCTCACAAACAGACAACGCGTCGGCCCAGACCGCATGCACACAACACAGTCGAGAGAGTGGACAGACAGACCGCGATCGGCTAGTGGGCGAGAGAGGAGGAGCAGACAGACAGAGATCGACTAGTCGGACATGCAACGCAGGTCCTCACGACGCTCGAGTCGCGCTACCGCCTCTACGACATGCGGACGCACCACCCCGTGCACGGCTACTCCTTCCTCTCGCAGGCGCCGCCACGGAGGGAGAGGAGACCTCGGGCGGGGCACGCTGCGCAGCACACCGGGGCGACAGGACAGGGCACTCCGCACCGGGGCACACACCGCGGCAAACCGTAGACGCCGACACCCACCACAGGGTGGTTTCACTGTGACTTCCCGCCCAGAGTCAACTCCCCGCCGACGCACACGCCCCGAGAGCCGTCTCATGGCGTGATTGCGCCATCACTGTGCGCAAGCTGTTCACACCTGCCATCACCTGCCGCTGTGAACGGCGTCTCTTCACACCTGCCATCACTGTGCGCAAGTTGTTGTGCGGGCTCTCCAGCACGCCCACTCAACCCCGCGCTTGTACCACCGCCCCCCCCCCCGGCCCCGCCGCCTTGCCTGGCCGCTGTCTGGCCGTTGGGAGGCACTATTGCCGCCACCGAGGGAGAGTACAATGGTGGAGTCACCGAGAGCGGCTGCCGCCGCCGCCTCTTGCGCGGCGTCACATGCGTCGGACTCTCTCACGTCCGCAGGTGTGAAGAGACGCCGTTCACAGCGGCAGGTGTGAAGACTCTCTCACGTCCGCTCTTCTCTCGCAGGAGGCGCACCAGTCGACCGTCTGGGCGGCGCGCCACCTGCCGCAGAACCGCGACGTCTTCATGACGTGCGGCGGCAACGGCTCGCTCGAGCTGTGGAGGCACACACACACACACACACACACACACACACACACACACACACGCACGCACGCACGCACGCACACACACACACGCGCGCGCGCACACACACACATACGCACACACACACTCACGCGCACCGGGCCTTGCACTTTTGGTGCCGTGGGGCTCCTGCCCTTTAGACGTGGAGTCGCGAGGGTTGCCCCCCCCCTTCCCAAGTTAACCTCACCTCACCTGACCTTTAGGTACTCTTACCCCGCGCAGCGCTCGATCAAAGACAAGGACGGCCACGCCAAGGCGCGGACCCTTCCGAGACTCTTCCTAGACCCCCCCGTCCAAGACCCCCCCGAGTGGACGTCGCGGAGGAGCGGCGGCGGGGCGCCGCTCCTCTCCATCCTCTGACTCCGCCCTCCTGCCGTCCCTCGCCAAGGGCGTGCTCGGCACGGTGACGCAGCTGCAAAAGAAGAAATTCTCCACGCAGCCGATCGCCTCCTTCGACTGGCACGCCGACAAGGAGGGCCTCGCGGTGATGGGCGTGCTCGACCAAACGGTGCGCGTGCTGCTCTGCACAAAGCTGAACTTGGTGTGAGCCGGGCGGCGCCGGAGACCGGAGACCGTGCTCACGTAATTTTGTATTTGCATGGGCGAGGGGGGGGAGGGTCGCTGGGGGAACCCGCGTGGGAGTTCTCTGCTGCTTTGTGTGTTTCAACTGTGTCTGATAGCTGATAGGTTATTTCAGCGTTTCACGACGACCCTTTACGAAGCCACCCGTGCCACGACCGGGGGCGCGGGCGGGGCGCGAGTGCCGAGTCGCGAGAGTGTGCGGAGTGGGTCGGAGTGGCGAGTGGCGACATGAATGTCCCCGCCACAATCAACAGAATTACCTTTCTCTTTATCGTCACGGCACGTGGAGCACTTGGAGAGTGCGGTTGGTACTCACAACGAAAATCCAAGAGCGGGCGAGCAGCAGCCGGAGAGGGTTGTTTTGCGCGCCGGGCGCCGGGTCGACGGCGACATTGAAGTAGTGGAGCACCTCTCGCACGGCGGGAGGCACGTTGGCGCCGATCTCCTCCTCGGTGTGAGGAGTCGGCTCCCACGCAAAGATCTTGTCAAAGGAGATGTTTTGCCGGCGGTACGCCTCAATGAACCAGTCCTGGGAGGAGCCGCCCTTGCCTTTGGACCAGAGACTCGCGCCGAGATCAAAGAGCAGGAAGCGGCACGCCTTCCTTGCCGCCTCTGGAGGCTGGAGCTCGCACCGATGCGTCGGCAGCAGGTGCTGCTTGTGCTCGACAAAGTCCCACGTCGTGCGGTCCTTGCAGTACTGCAGCATAAAGTTGGGGTGACGCAGGAAGCCAGCAAGTGGCTCGATGGGCACGCGCGACACCTCCACGCCGGCGCAGCGGTCAAAGGCGCTGTGGTACGAGACGTCCGCCCACATGCCGAGCTTCGTGCCCGCTGCGGCCTCAAGGCGCGCGAGGCGAGAGAGGACAGCTCGGGACACGGCGCACACTTTGCTCGCTCCCCGGTGGCGAGCGCGCGCCAGGTCCATCCAATGGGCAATCGACATACGCGCCGCAGTCCCATTCAACGCGGTGCACCCGGGCCAGCCTCCATCTGGCAGTCTGCTCTGTCCCCTACGGTGCCGAGATGGGGCGAGTAGCGGCTAGGCCGCAGCCAGGATGGCAGCGGAGGCCCAGCGCTCATAGCGCGAGCCTGTGGCCACCATCCTGCGGACTCTCTGGGTGGAGTTGGGAGCTTCCATCGAGGACGCGCTCACCGTGCACTGAGATGTGTGCTTGGGTGTTGTCGCTGTTCACTTGAGCCGTTGAGCCAGGGTGCCTTGTGGGGCGAACTACGCGGGGGGAGAGAGGGGGACAGCTTTTGTGCAGATGCGCCAGATCTTATATATTACAGATCAAATAAAGAAAAAATAAGGCCGAAAAAGCCGCACAAGGCCGTGTGTTGATATGCGAATTGAGACGTCAAAACCGCCTTCCGCAGGATTTTTTGCAAGGTTGAGAGGGGAAGGGCGCATCGCACGCGGAGAGGGACTGGAGCACTTGGAGCACTTGAAGTGCAGTCATTGGACTGACTGACTACGACAACAACAACTCTGACTACAAGGCGGCCTTCCTTCCCTCTACCTGAGTGAGGGAGAGGGTGAACGGTGTAGAGGATGTACTCGAGTAGAGTGTAGAGCGCCGTAGAGCTGTAGAGCTGGAGAGCTGTAGAGCTGTAGAGCGCTGTAGAGCTCCGGTGATTTCACGCACTCTGGGAGATGAGAAATCCAAGAAACACACCCAGAAGGGCAGCCCGCCCGAAAAGGTTCGGAAATTCCGAGCGGACCAAGGAGAGGCTTGAGCTCCTCAAGCGGCAATTTTCGTCACTTCGGCCCTCCGCTGGGCGCTCCGCTACCATGCTGTGCCTACTCTCCGCCGCTGTGGGCGCTCCGGTGCCCTCAACGCAGCCTCCAGCCGAGAAGCTTCTGTCGACGCCTTCAACGAAGGGCGGCTGGTACCCGGTACCTCCTGCCCGCTCTCGTCTCCTTCCCTGCATGCCCACTCACACGGGTGGCCGCTGCTCCGTGCAGGGCAAATTGCTCATGGAGGCCGCCTCCGACGTCAAGGATGGCACGTATGTGCCGGGGAAGCGGCTCGACGAGATGGTTGAGGAGTCCAACGACACCGGCGCGTGGTACCCTGGCAAGCTCGTGCACGATGCAGTGGAGGACATGGAGAACGGCACATACGTGCCCGGCGCCGAGATCCACAAGATGGTGACCAAGAGCGAGGAGAATGGTTCCTGGTTTCCGGGTGCGCCCTCCACGCCACCGCCCTTCCCACCTCGCGCAACGCTGACGCTCCTTCCCGTTCGGCCGCCCTCTAGGAAAACACTTGGGCGAGGCGGTCGCCGCGGCCGCGGCCGAGTTTCACGCGGAGGAGTTCCCCGTGCCGGTCGGCATGCCAGAGGGCACGACGTGCAACGAGCTGCCGTCGTGGCTGCAGGACGCGATCAACGACGTTGTGCAGGGCGTCATCGCCGAGATCCCCAACCACAAGACGCTCTCGCACCTCCCCGTGGAGGCCAAGGTGCGCGTCGGGATGGTGGACGCGGAGGTGCGCAACCTGACGGTGCGCTCGCTCCAGATGTCGCGAATCACGATGGCGGAGTGCCGCTCGCCACGCGAGGGCCTCGCCAGCTTCGTTCCCAAGCTCCTCCCCGACGTTGTGCTGGTGCACGCCAAGGACGTCAACCTCACGCAGGGGCTGCAGTTCCAGACGCCGGGCTTCCTCGGCGGGCTCGGCTCGATCGGCGCCTCGGCCGTCAGCAACCTCACCGGCCACCTCAACCTGACCATCGTCAACGGCAAGAACGGCAACGCGACGCACGTGACCGGATGCGACGCGACCTTTGCCATGGGCGACACTTCCGTCGCCGGCCCGGCTGGCCTCAACCTCGACGTCGCGGCGGTCCCGCTGCCGCTGCCGATTGGGGCCATCCTGTGCTACGGCCCCGCGGCGCTGCTCGGGCCCGCCTCGGGCCTCGTCGGCGTCGAGCTGCAGGGCGCGGGCGTGCTAGCCGGCAAGACCCTCGACGAGGAGTTCAGCGGGCTGGTGGACATGCTCAACAAGTTCTTCAAAAAGTATAGCTGGTACGCCGGCAAGTACGCGGGCGAGGCGGCGGACGCCATCGCCGGCGGCCAGGCCACCCGCTCAGCGGAGAAGACTGGCAAAAAGGTGGAGGAGGAGGCGGAGGAAGCGGCGGAGGAGGCGGAGGAGGAGGCGGAGGAGGCGGTCGAGACGTGGTATCCCGGCAAGTACCTGAGCGAGGGCCTCGAGGACATGCACGAGGAGATGCACAGGCTCTCCGGGAAGCCCTCGTCGCCGCCTTCGCCGCCGCCGGGCAACTGCTGGGACGCGTGCGGCAGCAAGGGCGGCGCGTGCGACGAGTTTTGCGGCGAGGGCTATGCGTGCTGCCAGGGCGGCTTCGACGACCCGCACCCGTGCCCCAAGTCGCTGCCCACGGACCGCGACTACCACTTCTGCGTCCCCGCCGCGGCGGACGACGGCCACTGGTTCCCCGGCAAGCACCTGATGCAGGGGATGGAGGAGGTCAAGGAGGCGCTCACCTCGTCACCGCTTCCGCCCGCGCAGCCGCCGTCCCCGCCGCCGCCGCCGCCGCCGCTGCCCGCCAACTGCTGGAGCGCGTGCGGCGGCAAGGGCGGCGCCTGCGACGACTTCTGCGGCGAGGGCCAGGCGTGCTGCCAGAGCGGCTTCGGCGACCCGTGGCCCTGCCCCGAGTCGATGCCCGACTCGCTTGCAGCGCTCGACTTCCACTTCTGCGTCGCCGCAGCGCCGCCAATGCCGCCGTCGCCGCCCGCCTCGCCATCGGGCGGGTGGATCCTTGGGTAAGCGCTCGTTCCAACCCAGGGTTGTCTAATGGGTTCGTGCGCGGCGGTGCAGCGGTGCACCCCACACACGAGATGCTCGATCGTTTACGGCGGGTCAACATGTTCAGACACACTCTTAGAGTAGCCCTTTCGTCACGATGTCACGGAGGACACGCAGCACAGAAGAAAGAGACAGAGACAGACAGCATTAACAGTCCCAGCCGTAATATACTTAATAGATAATACTTAATAGATAATAGGGAGCGAGCGATATACACAGGTATGTGCGGACTGCTGTGTGACACTTGTGCGCGCGTGTTGTGTTTAGACACAGTGTTGTTTTGTGTGCTACGTCGGCTGAATTAGAGTATAGTACACCGAACGCGAACACCTGTGACACAACACGCACTCTCTCTCATCTCTCTCTCTCTCTCTCTCTCTCTCTCTCTCTCTCTCTCTCTCTCTCTCTCTCTCTCTCTCTCTCTCTCTCTCTCTGCGCGTACGCAGAACCCCCTCCGTAGCGACCGGCGGTCGCCCTCGCGATGCCGAACTGCAAATTCCTCAGCTATCGCACTCCGCCCGCCGCCTTCCGGAGCGCCGCGACCGCCTCGCTCGGCGCGTCGCGCAACACCTCGAGCCGCTCCTCGTCGACAAAGTCGACGCGGCCGCCCTCGACGTGCAGCACGAGGGCCGCAAGCATGCACTCGGCGCGGCATAGGCGCACGTACGGGTCGGACAGCTCGCCCAGCCCAAAGGTCTGGGTTGCGCCAAACTTGGCCACCCACGGCGCCGCGTCGGCTGCCGCCTGCAGCAGCGCGCCGAGCGGCTCGGCGGCGGTGGCGGCGGCGGCAACGGACGCGCGCAGGCGGTCCGCCTCGGCGCCAGTGAGGACGTAGTCGGGGTCGGCGGAGCGCGCCGCCAGCGCCCGCTCCGCGACAGCCGCCGGGTCGGGCGCCTGCGCCGATAGCAGCTCCTGGATCGCGTTGATGACGAGCGGCTCAATCGGCGGCCGATCCGGCCGCAGCGGGTCTTGCCGGCCGACGGGCGCCACACACGCCCTCGGAGGGTGCAGCACCCGCGGCGACGGGACGAGCGCCGCGAGGACGGACCATGCGGGCAGCATTGTGTGAGTCGTGATTTTTTCGAGCGGCACACCCCCCTCTCGCGAGGTACCCGGGTGGTGAGAGAGAGAGAGAGACTGCGGCGCAGACAGTGCTGCGGCGATGCATCCGGCTGCTGCGGCGAGTGGTGTGCTGCTCGCTGCAATGGCGAAGAACTCGTCTCGTCACACGCCAAGAGCTTACGCTCTGTCGAGACGTGAGGCGTATGCGCCCAGGAGGGGAGGGCGCATGCGTAACGACGCTGCTAGAGATGCCTTTCGGGGCCCAGAGATAAAACTTCTGATGCCATGCGTGACCTAGTAGTGTCCCCAGCTATGGGCGTGTCCACGTTGGAGCCAGGTGTGGTGTGGACGCGAGAATAGCTCCGCCGTTCATGGAGGCAACCGATGCGAGTCGACTGGTGTGTGTCGTCGTGGTTTCGTATCAAGAATTCTCTCTCTCTCTCTACCCGGGTGGTGTGTATTGTACTTGTTACGACAAAACATGACTTGTTACGTGAAAACCCGCTTGTGCGTCTTGGGTCCCGGGTTGTGTTTTTGTGTGAAAACCCGCTGGGACCCGGACGCCAGCACACACGGCTGATTTCATGGCGGGCCGCCTAGGCCCTGGGGCTGAGGGAGGGTGTAGAGGATGTAGAGTGTAGAGCGCTGTAGAGCTGTAGAGATGTAGAGCGCTCTGGAGCGCTGGAGCGCTGTAGAGCTCTACATCCGCCGCGTCGGCTGGCGGGCGGTACGGCCGCCGGCGGCCGCTGCACCCGCGCCTTCCCTCGCGGGCGCCGTCGCGCCGCGCGCGCCCAACTCTGCTGGCACACGGCACGCGTCGTCACACAGCCGCGGAGAATAGGCGGTGCAGCGCGCGAAGCGCGCGCGATCTCGTACTTTTAAGGCTGGATCCGGCCATTCCAAGGGTATACCTTTGAGAATCCCCAGCGTCCCACCCTCCTAGTCACACTCTCAATTTCTCGACTGGCCAACACGAAATGCTGCGATCGGGGTTGGCCCATTTCTTTTTTCCTTTCTTTTTTTGGGCCCTGTGGGCACCCTAATCAAGTGGGCGCTCGTCGCTTTACAGAACGAGAAACTGCGACGGTGTATCATTCACTTTATGCCACCGTTGCATATCCGGATATCCAACGGTGGCATAAAGTGAATGATACACCGTCGCA